GGGGGGGCGCAAGGTGGAAGTTTCGCCTAGGGCGCGAAACATCCTTCCACCGGCCCTGGATACAGGCCATTAGGTGCAAAGGTAGAATGGTTTCTGCCCATTCCTCCCACAGGTAACCCTGTTTCATTAGGCACCCTAAAAGAAATGTTATGATTTAGTATTAGCAAACTTGTGATCTCAACACAAATTAATAGGCAAACAAGTAAAATAAACCTTCTAAAATCCTGGATCCATTTAAGTCAAAGGGAGCTTTGCCATTGGCTTCAGTGGATCCAGGATTTCACACCTGGTAACGTATAAAGCTGTAGGTTGTACACTAAGATTGAGACTCACTCTAGGTCCTTCTGCATAGAGATTTCCTGTTTCAGATAATTTAAAAAAAAACAAAACGTAAAATCCCAACCTATAACTGATTTCTCATAATTAAATGCTGTTTTGTCAACAAGTGTCAGCAGTGAAACATTGCAAGACTTCAGTGCTGACAAGCACTGCAACATGCTGTTTTTAGTTGTTCTGTATTTGAACAGTCAAATCATTGATTGACAACCTAAATGTATTGCACAACAAAGTGGCATGCCAGGATGTGAGTGCTGAAGAGAAGCGTATTCTAATAAAGACTTTGGCCAGATTCTGCTCTCAGTTATGCCATTATAAATCCAGAGTAACTCCAATGAGGTCAACCAGACATACACCAATAGAACTCCCCAAATTTGGTCTCCACACTGTACAATATTTAGCTAACACCTTTAACACAGATTCTCTGCAATGAAGCTGTAGGGACTGATTCACATGCCCAATGAAGTCAATGGAAAGGTTCTGATTCATTTCAATGGGTTCCGGATCAGGCTCCAAGGGTAGATATTGCAATGAACCAATATTTTAAAGTAAATAATTTTAACCAACACCTTCTAAATCAAACGTTAGACCAAAAAAGCATTCAGTCCAGTTGCCATCAGAAGCTGCAAGGTAAACAAATATGACTGATGAAAGAATATCCTCTACGGATGATTTCTGGAATCCTGTGATGGCCATCTATGCTCCAAATGTGGCTAGGGATCCTGACCTCACTACTGGACAGACAAACAAGACAAAAGAAAGAGGATGAGTGGTTTGATCCCTCTATCAATTATGATGCAAAACTTTATGAAAATAAATAATTTTTGTAGCTATAGAAATATGCCTCTGGAGAAGAAGTTAAACAAAACAATCTTTTTTCTGGATGGTTTATGTGGTAGCTATTTATTACACACTCTTCCTCGAAGAGAAATCAGAGAGGAAAGCCTTGCCAATGGCATTGGTTATATCCTCCTAGAGCTGATCTGGTTTATAATCCGGTAGTACGGGGAATGTGCTTATCTGCCTGTCTGAGAAAGTAAAGGACGAGGAATTATTCTTCTTTGGTTAAATGAGTTTATTGAATTGGCCAGCTCAGGATTGGCTGAAGTGCATACGGTTTATGGAATCATGATAGGAAGAGCTCATTTTCTGCCCTCAGAAACAAACATACAACTCCCACTGTTTCAATGTGAGTGAAGATCTGGGCCCAAAAGACAGAAGAGGCCAATTGGGTCATCTAGCCCATTTCCCTGCCAACAAAGAACATTTTCCCTACTGTATTTTTTTAGTGTCTGCTGTGTCTACTGTAGTTTTCAAAGTCTCAGTCAATGGGGGATTCCATCATTCCCTCATGAGACTATTCCATGGCCTAGGATATCTCTGGTGGGAGTTTCTCTCTGATATTCAGGTATAACTTTTAATGACTTTAAATTCCATCCCATTACTCCTAGTTATACCCTCATGTTTTACTCTACGTGAATTCTATTTAATTCTACAATTATAAAGGATTGTACATCCCAATATAAATAATGATGCTAATAGTTCATCTTCATCCTTGGTGTATACCTCAAGAAGAAAGCCCGTTGTTTGTTGGTTCTGAGAATTCAACGTTGGAAGAAACAGAATAAATTGGGAAATTATACTGATGTTGAAATAAAAGACCAGGGCATCTCACTGGTTATTTTCTAACAGAGAAAATAAAATCCTTAGTCATTTCCTCAGGAGTATTGTTTAAGGATTTAAATTGTTAGGTTGATGCACATGAGCGTATTAAAAGGATTATGCTAAAATATGTAAAGTGCACTGCAAATGAGTGAACTAGCTCCATTTCTATATTTATGCCTCTTTCATCCTTCTGTGAACTTGAGAATAAAAAAGTCTCTCTCCACTCCTGTCATGCTCAAGTTACAAAATCCAAACTCAAACCCAATTGATTCAGAACAAAACAAAGCACTTACCCAGAATGCTTCATGTTTTGAGGTTTATCCATTCGGACTGCAAGTTTGATCTTTAGATCTTGATCTGAGCAGTTTTTGGAAACAGTCATTTTGTGCCACTCTGATTGTTTTGGGCTATTCGGAGTAGGGTGAAGAACCACCTGCACATAACAAAGATAGCAATGGTGAAGGAGAGAAGTGACCCATTACATTGGTTTTAACTGGGAATTAAAATACATTCCTATTGACTTGATTAGGGGCAGGATTTCACTCACCATATTTTAAGTTAAATTTTATTATTTTGGGATTTTATATTGTACCTCCTTGGCTGCTCTAGCTCTGCACAATTATTCTCAGTGTCCTGAAAAATGTAATTGCATGTGGTCACGATATGTGACATTTACCATTGTCAGTATTTTTCCATCTTTAAATCACCTGAGAAACGACTAAGGCAAAAGAATTCACAGTTTCACAGATAAGTCAGTCTCCAGGGCAGTTCATACTGATACTACAGGCGGAGCAGGTAGCAACCTGCTATAGTTAATGTTGCCGGACATTCTCCATTTTGATACCGTTTTCAGTTGCTTATAACTTTGCCAAAAGTTCGGGCTGACTGGCTGGCTGCCTCAGGTAGAGATTTTTTGGAAAGTTTTAATTAAAAATGCTTTGGAACAGGGACTTAAAATTTGACTTAAAAGAGGTCACTCTAGCATTAAGGATGTGCCTTTTGCTGTCCTTGTGAAAATTTGCCCACATTTGGCAAAATTAAAAGCCTTTGAAAAATCTCAGTTAGCACATGCTCAGTAAAGACTTGTTAAAGTTTGCCAGCTAAATTCTATGACAATTCTGTCTGCACCCCACTGGGCCTGCTCCGTCCCTTCGCAGATCCTACATGCTGACTGGAATCAATGTATGTCATCCCCTCTGAGTAACCAGTGGTGCTCCAATCCAGGGCTGTAGGTACTGAGCAAGACTTTCCCTACAAATGCTCTTCATGGCCCCTGGAGGCTACAGTGATGTCGAGCACAGGAACTGAGAGCAGGGAGCCTGTGTTCTCAGTGTTTCCCCTGTTAGTGCCCAGGCAGTGTGGAGGAGGAGGAGGATCCTGACTTGAATGTAGAAGTGGGTAAGGAACAGGATGAGAGGAGAGGATCAGAGATTCAGGGGAATAGTAGCAAGAGATCATGCAATTACAAATTGCATCATAATGCATACATACAAGGAGGCCAAATTAATTAAGGATGCCTGTGCATTCTTATGGCATATCCTAACCTTTGAGTGCTTGGCTTAGCAACCTTAATGTTCTTTTAACACACTTTTTTTTGCCTGTAATTCTATTTACAGTGTGGGCACTTTATATATTATTTACCCTTCAAAGCAGAAGATAAGGAATAATGGGAAATATCTACTAGAGATCAGTGTTTTGGTTTAGTGCATTTGTTATTAAATTGGAAAAGCTAATACCTGGTGGTCATGAGCAACCTTGTTAAATAACTAATTAATTGGTGATCTAGGTTAAATTGTTGAAATGTATGATATTATTAACTATTAATTATTATTAACTATTATTAATAAGTATTCATTAAAATAGTTTAAGGAGTAAAGCATACACAATAGAAGAGAAAAGAATAAAGATTATTACTGATAAAAATACTTTATTAGTAGTAATAATATTACTAGGAACTTCTGTCAAAACTCAGGGTCTCATTGAGCTAGGAACTATACAGAAATGTAACAAAAAGGGCAGTTCGTGCCCTAGAGAGATCACAACCTAAATGATAGACAGGACACAATTAAATGACGAAACTGACATATGAGTGGGATGAGGTTAAGAAAATGAACAGCGCTGAGCAGAAATGCAGAAGTCACAGCTCCTTAGTACTCATCTGAGACAATTTGGATGTATTATAATTTTGAATAGAATAATGTACCTGATCAAAGTCAGCTAGAAGGAGAATAATTTGTTGGTTTTTATTTGGTTTTGGTGGGTTTTATTTGAACTAATTTTTGGATGACTCTGATCCATGAGCAACTGATTCAATGGAGAGAAGTGTTTCAGTCAATTATTGATTTTAGATCATATGCCACAGATTCAAGTAATTTAAACAGGAGAGCGCAATAAGTTTAAATTTAAACCATGAAAGATTTATAATTATGGAGAGAAATGTTCAGCAGATGTGTGTCCTTTACTCATTGTTATTTTTATAAGACTTAGGACAAAATTACATTAATTGAAGAAATACAAACACTTCCCAAATGGAGGCTTTTGGATCATTAAATTATAGCTTTTGTAGGCACTTTGGTTTGTCTCTGTTACATATATATGCCCTGACAACAATCCTTCTTCCTTGAAGTTCTCAGATAGCTAGTTGGCTCCCACTCCCATTCTTTTCTGCACTAGGCTCCTGTCAGTGTCTGAGTCTGGCTCCTTTCAGAACGCCTCTGAGGTCAAATTACTGCAGGTGCGCCAGTCAGGGAGGATGCAGCCCAATTCTATGACACAACATTACTGAAGAAGAAACAAGTTGGAACATCAATGTGAGAGTGAGTAACCCCTACTGAAAAGGGAAGCGGCGGTCACTTTCCCACCGCAGGCAATCCCTTTGAATTCAATTAAACAGTCCTGAAAGTAAATCAGCCTTCAGCTCGTTAGGCCTGAATGAGGGTCCGCTTACATTCTACTCCTGTGGAGAGAGTTGGAGGTGTCAGGGAGCAGACCTCAGACAGCCTCTGCCGGCGGGGTTCACCAATACCCAGCAAACCATAGCGGAGGTATATTTGACTATATTTATGGACATCACGTACAAACAGCTATTTACATCATTTTATCTTCTAACTAAGCTGCCCCCCCCCCAAATACCAAAGGGACTTCTCTGCAACACACAAAACAAAGTAACAATGTTGCAGTATAGTTGTAGTCATGTCGATCCCAGGATATTAAAGAACAAGGTGTGGGATTGAGCTAATATCTTTTATTGGACCCTCTTCAGAGACCTGAAGAAGAGCTGTCTGTGGTTCGAAAGCTTGTCTCTCTCACCAACAGAAGTTGGTCCAATAAAAGATATTACCTCACCCCCTTGTCTTGCAAAAGGAACAATGTAGCAGTTTCCAGGCCATTCTAAACACACGATGAGATTTAAAAAAAAGGGTGGAAAAGTGAAATTCAGATAAAATTTCACCCCACCCCCAACTTTTTAATTTTTTTTTAACCTAGTGGGATGAGAGGCAGCAGGCAAAATTTCAGACAGGTCAGTTTGTTGGCAGGGGTCTTCAAAGAGCCCCCCATCCCCTTTGTGAGTCTGAGCATACATCCTCTTTTGGAGCAATTGATTTTGGGTTGAATTTAATCAATAGTTCACCTTCTATATTCTATGCATCCTGACTGAACACAGGGCTGGAATTTAAAATGCACATAAATACATCTGGCATATTCCTATGGCAGTGCATATTCATATCAGATGGCAAGATATCAGTTGTTGCAAAAGGTTTATAACCTTTTCAGCGTTTCTCACTTCCGCCTCCGGCAGGGAAGAGATGATGGTCCAGAACCTCAACTGGTGTAAATCAATGGAACTTCACTGGCTGCAGTGGAGTTACGCCGGTTTATACCGGCTGAGGTCATGAGCTGGTAAGTCTAAGAATTCTGAAAATTCTTCAAAAGGAGCTTTTTGTCCATCTGCTTATTCTACACTCATTATCATGGCATTTAATATTAATTGCCACAAGGGGTCATGTTTTACCCTCTTTGTGTGCTTGGAATTTTCACCGACATCGATGATAACTGGGCCATGGATTGCAGGTAAGCAATGGCTCCCTGTTTAGAAAGGACAGTGCCTCTCAGATAAGGAAGAATAGAAAGACCAAGCCTGTCACTACTTTCTGGGAGTACAATATTTCATTTCCTCCTAGTGACTCTACCTCTATCCCTTCATGTAATTTATTCCCAATTATAGTACATGTAGATGTGTGTGGCTAAAGCCTCAGTAATTTCATAACTATTCTGTGTATTGAAATACATGGGGGGAGGGATAGCTCAGTGGTTTGAGCATTGGCCTGCTAAACCCAGCATTGTGAGTTCAATCCTTGAGGGGGCCACTTAGGGATCTAGGGCAAAATCAGTACTTGGTCCTGCTAGTGAAGACAGGGGGCTGGACTCAATGACCTTGCAAGGTCCCTTCCAGTTCTAGGAGATAGGATATCTCCATTAATTTAATTTAATTTATTTATTTGAAATGACTCTCTCCATTCCTGATGCATAAACATCGGTCTTTTGATCTTTTCATTTTCATACTTGGTTTTTTTGTTACATTGGTTTTTTGGTTTTGTTTTCATCCTGTTCTGGTGACTCACACCAATGCATGTTAAAATTCATTAAAGTCTCCACTCTTGGGCAGCGAGATGCATCTCCTCATAATGTATTAGCCTACAGGCAAACAAATTCTTTTTATAACTGGCAGTATTCACCCTCATTACTTATGGTGTTTCTATCATTCATTCCTGACTGGTATTATTCCATGCAACTTCCAAATACCAACCCAGTTTATCATCCCTTTTTTATACTCCATCGAGCTTCAGCTTTACTGCTGATACAACAAACTATAATTTATTTTTTCTGCATGGAGACCAAAGTGCCCTTGACACTGATACCCAGTGCACTTTTTTAGGATTTGATCCAAATCCCTTTGAAATCGACCGTCAACTGTAATGCATTTTGGATCAGGCCCTTATTCATCACCTTATTTAATGCTATACATACTGAATTTTACCCACTAGATTCATCTTTTATGTTTAATCATCCAGACAAACTTCACTGGTATGATTCCAAAACTGTGTTATTTATATGGATTAATACTGGCAGAGCATGCATTATTCTTTGAAAGGTTTGATTCCAGCATCCCTGAAGATCGGCCCTCGTTTCTTAGTGCTGTTATAATGGTCTTTCATTTCCAATCACTTTTTAAAAATAAAATCTTTTTCAAAGCAAGTTTTTGGCATTTGGCAGTAAAGGGGCAGGAGGGAAGGGCAGGGACAGTGTTATAAACATCTGTTCTCTATTTCCAGGGGAAGAACCTTTCTCCTGTGTCATGCCCAAGTGGCTGGGCTTTGGATAGGAGCAGGGTGTTCACTTGGGGTGGAGTCCTCCCTGTAGGGCCATGGAGGAGAGCAGAGCTGATCTGTGGGTGGTCCTACAACCTGACTGCTGCAGTAACATTGGCATATGATTGGGGGATCTGCCACACCATCTCCCAAAGCCTCCAGTACAAAGGGGCATAGGGAATCCCACTCCCCACAGAGCTTGGTATTAAGGAGTAAGGACCAGAGATCCTCCACCCCAGCTTTGATGCAGACAGAAACCTCTGATCTCCAGTCCAGTAAAACATCTGCTTTTGAGGAAAGCAGCTTCCTTGTAAGTACTTTTTTGATGTATTTTTAAATTGTTCTCATTAAAAAAATGTACTTAGTGTTCTTATATTTTATTAACCTTGCTGCCCTCCGTGGGTGAAACCCTGACCCCACTGAAGTCAGTAGGAATGTTGCCACGGACTTCAACAGGGCCAGGATTTCACCCCATGAGTCTAACATGACCCTGGGAGCAGCCATTTAAGGCTCGTGGGTATGTTCCAGTTCTCACCATCAAGTGAAACAGTTAAATTGGAAGCGTTAGCCAGTTCCCAATTCAGCTATTGCCATTGAAAACGAGAATTGTAAATGTCTGGCAGACCACAAAACACTTCTTAAAGGGCAGCTAGGCATGATGTTTTTGTGTACAGGACGGCATTAGTTTCCTTTCCCTTTGAGACTCTGCTGTCTTCCCTCATCAGCTCAGACAGGTTTGTGTCAATTTGAACAGCTACATCAGGGGCTTAATGCGCTCAAGATGTAGTTGTTTGAACAAAAACAAACCCCAAAGCAGCCCAACCAGACAAGCACCACCACTAGACAGAAGAAGGCGGTTTCAGGCATACTGAGTGCCTCTTTGAAGTGCAGCTGGCTGAGAAGTGCTGGTGGACGTACTCCAAAGGAAATTACCACGTCACCCTCTGTGTTCATCAGCACTGGCCAGTACCAGTTGGGTTTGGGAAGCTAAAAAGGAGCTGCAACTCCCCGATGGACTCAGAACGACGCTGAAGCAGTGGGGCTGGCTCATCAGCATTCCAGAAGTAACTGGGGACAAGGCAGAGCCCGAAAAATGTTTTGTACAACACGCACTGCTAATTCCTTTCCAAGCCTGGCAAATTCAACACTGCTCACAATTGCCTGGCAAGGAAATCACAGTTCTTCAGTTGAAACAAGAGCGACAAAGCAACTGGGGTTTAAACCAACTGTACCCACGCAGGAGAAAGAGCTGCTTGTCACCGTGGCCGGCTCAGCGAAGGGCTCTGCTCGGCAGGCAGTCATTGTCACAAAAGAAAGCGCCATGGTAGGAGGTTTAAAGAATGAGTTTCGAAAAAAGTACTGAGAATATTAGAACGCCACTGTGTATGGTAATGGGACGTCCTCACCTGGAACAGTGTGTCCAGTTCTGGTCATCCGATCTCATAAACAGAAATAGGAAGGGTGAGGAAAGCGATCAGAGGCACGGGCACACTGACGTGTCACGAAGCAACAGAAAAGTGCTCTCCATGGGCTCTCGGAGCCTGCAATGGCACTAGTGGACACACAGCCACGAAGAGTGGAATCCAGATTGGGAACAGCAGTGACTGCGGGGGAAGGGTGGGGCAGTGAGAGGGGAGGAAGGGGTCACCAGAGGCTCTGTAGCCAAAGCCAGGGAATCTGAATCCTTTACTGATGAGGGCACTGGCAGATGAAATCCACCTCCCAGATGTAATGCAACATTTCATCTCCTAGGGCAGTGGAGGGCAAACTACGGCCCGCAGGCCGGATCCGCCCCATCAGGGATTTCAATCCAGCCTGTGGGATTTCAATCTGGAGCCTGCACCCCGAACCCCTCCCACACCCCAACCCCCTGCCCTGAGCCCCCTGCCGCACCCCGCCTGCACCCAACCACCCTGCCCTGAGCCCCCTGCTGCACCCCAACCCCTGCCCTGAGCCCCCAACCCTCCTGCTGCACTCCGCACCCCGCCTGCACTCCAACCCCTGCCCTGAGCCCCCAACCCCCTGCCCTGAGCCCCCTGTCACACCCAACACCCCTCCTGCACTCCAACCCCTGCCCTGAGCCCCCAACCCCCTGC